GGGAGGCAGCAGGAATAAAGAGTGCATGGGAACTGCCAGTTACAGAACAAGAATCCTGGACAGATCCTACCGTTATGGACTCATGGTGAGGAGCAGGGTAGCTTCAGCAGCCTTTCCACTTCTCTGTTTCCCTGAACACCCTACAGCTGCATAACACTGTCTGCCTTCATTTATTTCAGTTCAGGCAGGAACATGCTCCCAACTCAGGAGTCCTGGCTGGTGCGAATTTTCAGAACTGCAGGAAATACCTGCAGGAGACAACAGAACCCCCCAAGCACCTTCCCCAGTACTGTCAAACCAGCTAAGATTGTAATTCCCTAAGATGTGGGCTGATCCAGTCTGGTACCTGAAGAAATGCAGGGCCAACTGAGATAAATAAGAGCCTTATATAATAGCAAGTTTTCCATGCACACTCTTCTCCTTCACTCCCCACTGGTGTTTGCCATCTTTTCAGGACACCACAACCCAATGTGTGAGCATGTCCACATATGCATCCATGCATGAGCACATACACACATGTTTGTGAATGCACATGCGTACTCACACACCTTTGAAGCACCCAGAATCCTATCTCAATTTGTCCCTGTAGCTCCCTTCAAGGAGGTTTCCCATCATGCACACCAGAATTTTGTCTCATTTTGGATCCTTTGGGTGTTTCCTGAGTGGGTGGGAGGTTTGGGGCTTCTCCCTTGCCCTTCCACTCTGCTGTCCTGTAAACACAGGTCGATGAGAATGATTGTTGATCTTAATCACATTTCTTTAAAAAAGAATTGGGACAGGTGGTGGGGAGGTGCCTCCTTGATTTCTCATTGTCTCCATGAAGTTGTTAAGCAGAACGATTGAAATGTTAGTGGGAAGGCCAGAAGTTCACTCCGTCTTGGGCCTCTGGACTGTGGATAGGGCTGGAAGGAGTAAGACTGTAAATATGTACCAATCTCTCAGCTGTTTGTGTATTTGTGTCTCTAAGTTGCTGTTGCTAATTTCTATCAAGATATAGTCTTAAAATATAAGAATGCCAGAGGAGAGGATTATGGTGTGTGAAAAAGTTGATGGTAAGCAAGGCACTGAGGAGTAAATGCCCCAAACCTTTAATAGCATGAGAAAATCCCTCTCCTAGAGCAGTTTTTGTCTGCTATCCCACTACTGGGAGTCTTCCACATGGTTCTCCCAATGCATATAAGGCCTAATGCAAAGCACCCATTGCTATTCCAACTCTGGACCATCTTATGATCCCCCACTTGTCTCTCTTTATGCTTCAGTCTTGACCAAGCCATCACCCTGCTTTTCCAGTTTTGGGGTCCCAATCCATAGCCTTTCCAGTTAATTTGTGTTGTGACCCAACAGAGAGACTTCAATCCTGCCTTGTAGCACTTCCCCTACTATTCCAATTCAAGTTCCTGAGCAGATCTTGATCTTTATCCTGGGGAAGACTTACTGCTAACTCGTTTCATGCATGAGGGCTGGTGGAAGTTGCTGAAGGTAACCCTGCCCATCATCACTGAGGGAGGAAAGATCTCATCCTGGTATAGTGCCATTGGGGCTGTAGAAGATAGCCTTGACCCTGCTAAGGCTTTACCAATGTAGAGGCTGGAGAGGGTACCCTTAGCTCCATGAAGCATATGGCTACCCCAGGACCACCTGTTCCTAGAACTGAAGGGCAAGTCAGAGAACATAGATTCTCTCTGATTGGCTCTGAAAGCCTGCTGGGTATCTCTCTTCAGATGGCTGTGGCCTCCGCTGCATAGTCTGCCTTGCCATGCCACAACCTTGCTGGTGGCATCAGCATTTCACCTCACCTGGAATACCACTTTGTGCCTGGCCTGGGAAATGCCCCTCCTGACTAGGTCAGAATAATGATCCTGCTAATACTGCACCTGACCTCTCTACTCTTCTGCACCTGTAGCCCTCCTCTTCAGTAATGTGAGCAGATCTGTAAGCATCTCCTCCTTGATTTTCCTCAGGTCTCTGGCAGCTCACTGTGCTGCTCTTATAGGCATTGGCCTTGGGACCTCAATGGCTGCAACAGTGGAAGCAGCGGTTGCTTCAGTGTTACCCTGAAACGACAGTAAAAAACACAATCAGCTTTTTTTAACTTGTGTAACTTGATGATAAGCCCTGAACTTCCAAGCAAGTCTTTGCATTCAATTTTGGGAGATCTTCATGAGCTCTGGTTCCTGGAATGATAAATTCCTATGCCTAGAAGCTCCAGCACAGGGAACTTAGCCACCTTCCACTTTTCAACCAGGCTATCTTTCCTGATCTCAGCATGCAGGGATAAGCATAGGCAAGGCCCCCAGATTTGGATTACTTTAAGATTCTCCCTATAGAAGTGGCAGAGTTGAGTCCTCAGATGGCACCCTGACCCAAAGGTCCTAGCCATCTTCCCGGTTTTTTAGGGCTCTTTCTTCTATGGGGATGTGTCTCTGCTGTGTGTTTCATACCAAAGCTCCAGAGGCACTTGTACACATGACAGGGGTTTAATCTTCACTAAACTAAGCAGGTTTATTAAAATTGACATGGCGTGTTTTAATTTGTTCTGTCACTGTGTACAAGTGACAGCTTTTTAATCAAATAAAGCTCAGTGCGCTAGTCACAATAAATTACAGGAGGGGATGCCACATAACAATCCATTTCACTGATCTCTTTGGTACTCAATTACAGCAGGGGGCACTGGCAAACCACTAATCCCCTCATTCCTGAAACACATCCCCCTGAAGCCTCAGCTGCCCGCAGGGAGCCACATGCTCACCCCAGCTCTTGGTCCTGGCCTGGCTGGAGAGGAGGAGACATGCACTGCGCCCACCCCAGATTGTAGACTCCAGGCATCATAACTTTTTAATTTTGTTGTGAGGGCATGAGATCAAAGCACAGTCAGAACCATGGGTGCCCCTGGATTGGCATCAGGCAGCACTGCCGAGCCACCAATGCCTGCACAGTCATCCTGCCCCCTGCATGGTACTGGCCAGGTTGCCCCCCTGGGCCATGCTGCCACTGGCTCCCCAAGGAGGACCCTGATTGCCAATGGAACTGTCAGCCCATAACCCACCCCTGGTTCCATCAAGGAATTGATAACTGCTTGGGTGCCTAACGGGGGCACCCAGGAGTGCTTTCATTCGCTCTTCAGAGCAAATGGCACCCACCAGTTCACAGGACTGCAGCCTTTATCCACCAGTCATCATAATTTCCTTGTACTGGCATGGCAGGAACAAGGGCATGAGCTCACAGCACAGTCAGACCCATGGGTATTCCTGGACTGGCAGCAGGCAGCCCTGCCAAGCTGTGGTGGCCTTCATGGTCAACCTCCCATGGCCATGGTCAGGCTCCCTGGGGTGGGGCTTCATTGCCAGTTGCCCTGCCAGCCCATAAATCAGCCCTGGTTCCCGCAAGGAATTAATAAGCGTGTTGCTAGCCAACATGTGTGCCTGGGAGTGCTTTCATTTCCCCTTTAAAGAAAATGACACCTGCCTGGTCCCAGGACTCCTCATGCCCCGGGAGGCTAGGAGTGTCGGGCAGGGCTGGATGTCAGGCACCAATTTGTGTGGGTGGTGGCAAAGCGAGTTGGGCTCCAGCACAGGTTGGAGATGCGTGTGACCTCCCTTGCCCTGGGCTGTGACGCCAGCACCATGCCTGGCAGACCAATAATGTCACACCGCTTTCACCCCTGGGCAGCATCTCCCTTCCCTCATCCTATGCCCTGTCGCAGCCCCAACAGTGGCTGTTCATAGTTCAAGTAACGGTGGGAAGCCGCAGCTGCCTGCTCTTCCCCTCTCCCCACCATCATCACAGCGTGCTCCCTGCCACTACAGACAATGTACTTATAAGACAGACAGAAGTGTTATGTTGCAATGAAAAACTTTATTTTTATTTATAGAAACACTCAACGGTAGGTAACAGTAACATATCCATCAGCCTAGAGAGAACCATCTTCCTATGCAGTGGCCATAATATATGTGGCCAGACAATTCTGCACAATGGCCGCTCGACCAGCCTCTGCATGCTGATGGTGAGTGGAAGGGGGGGGCGGGGCTGTGCACTGCCTGCCCATGTCTCTGGCTGCCCACTGCCTCCTGCAGTTCCTCAGCCCAAGACTCACTGAATACCTCTCCCTGGTCCCACAAACATTGTGGAACACGCAGGCCACAATGAAAGCCATTATGTTTTCTGGCTCCACCTCCAGCCTATATTTCAGTGACTTCCACCATGCTTTGAGATGGCCAAAGGTGCATTCAACAGTCATCTTGCATTTGCTGAGATGATAGTTCAGTGCCATCTCTTGCGGGTCAGTAATGCATCTTCCATATGGCTTCAGGAACCAGGGCTGGAGCAGGTAATTTGCATCTGCTATGATAAGCGGGTGCACGGCAATACCCCATATCACTGTATCAGGGACTCTGGGCACATACTGTCCTTTCTTCAACATATGAGACAACGGCGAGTTTTTAAAGACACACAAATCATATGTGTTGCCTGCCCAGCCTCTATAAATGTTAGTGAAACAGCTCCAGTGATCGACTACAGCTTGGAGGGTCACCGAGGCAAATCCCTTCCTGTTTGTGAGTAACTGGCTTGGCTGTGATAGGAATAACACCAGGACATGTGTGCTGTCCAATGCACCCATGCAATTAGGGACCCCCATGGCCTGGAAGCCTTCAACAACTTCCATGGGATTATGGAGGTAAATAAAGTTGTTTGCCATGATGTCCTGTAGCAGCTGGCATACCTCCACATATCATCAGCCTGGTCATGCAGAGATCCATGCTGAACTGGTTCCCAAAGTAGCAGAGTCTGATGGGGGTGGCCAGTGTCATAATGGCCATGGCCACCCTCTTGTCCAGTGCGATGGGCTGACACATGACACTTTCCTGCCTCACAATTTGCAGCCCTAGCATTGAGACTATGTGGTGAAATGCCTCCCTGCTCATTTGGAACATCTTCAGCCACTTGATCATCCAAAGTTTACAGTACAATTCACTCCCACCA